ATCTATCTATCTATCTATCTATCTATCTATCTATCTATCTATCTATCCATCTATCCATCTATTCATCCATCCATCATCCACTAATCCATCCAAGTCGGTCATGGGGGCAGCAGCTTGAGCCATGAGGCCAAGACATCTTTTTCCACAGCCACCTCTTCCAGCTCTTCTGGGAGGATCCCAAGGCGTTCTCAGGCCAACTGAGAGACGTAGTTTCTCCAGCGTGTCCTGGGTCTTCACCGGGGGTCTCCTCCCAGTCGGACATATCTGAAGCACCTCCCTAGGGAGGCGCCCAGGGAGCATCCTTACCAGATGCCAAACCACCTCAACTGGCTCCTCTTGATGTGGAGGAGCAGAGGTTCTACTCCTAGTCTCTCCTGGATAACCAAACTTCTCACCCTATCTCTAAAGGAAAGTCCAGCTACTCTGCGGAGGAAACTCATTTCAGTTGCCTGTTTCCGCAATCGCATTCTTTCGGTCATGACCCAGAGCTCGTGACCATAGGTGATGGTAGGAACATAGACCGACCGGTAAACAGAGAGCTTTGCCTTACAGCTCAGCTCCCTCTTCACCACAACGGACTGACAAAGAGTTCACAATACTGCAGATGCTGCACCAATCCCTCTGTCAATCTCACGCTCCATTCTTCCCTCACTCATGAACAAAACCTCAAGATACTTGAACTCCTCCACTTGAGGCAGAACCTCACCCTCGACTTCAAGAGAGCAATCCACCCTTTTCCGGTTGAGGACCATGGCCTCAGATTTGGAGGTGCTGATTCTCATCACAGCTCCTTCATACTCGGCTGCAAACTGCTCCAGAGAGCTGAAGATCCCAGCACGATGATGCCAACAAGACCACATCATCTGTAAATAGCACGTATGGAATCCTGAGGCCACTGAACTGGAATCCCTCTGTCCCCTGGCTGCACAGAGAAGTTCTGACCATAGAAGTTATGAACAGAATTGGTGACAACAGGCAACCCTAGAGGAGTCCAACTCCCACCCTGAAGGGGTTCGACTTACTACTGGCAATGTGGACCAAACTCGATTACCACTTGTATAGGGACTGAACAGCCCATAGCAATGGGCCCCCAATCCCATTCTCACAGAGCACCCCCCACAATGTACCTCAAGGATCACAGTCGAACACCTTCCCAAAGTCCACAAAACACATGTAGACTGGATGGGCAAACTCTCATAACTCCTCGAGGACCCTAGTGAGGGTAGAGTTGGACCAATGTTCAACGGCCCACATTGTTCCTCCTGGATCTGAGGTTCAACCAACAATCTGACACGCTCCTCCAGTACCCCTGAATAGACCTTACCAGGGAGGCTTAAGAGAGTGATGCCCCTTTAAATGGAGCAACACCCTCCGGTCCCCCTTTAGGAAGAGGGGAACCACCACTCCTATCGGCCAATCCAGTGGCACTGCCTCCAATGTCCATGCAATGTTGCAAAGGTGTGTCAACTAATACAGCCCCACTGTGATGTACAGTCTCAGAGCAGTGAGGGGAAGGAGCAGGGGAGGGGGTTCTGCCTTTCCCCATTGCTGCTGTCTGTGGAAGCTTCAGAGAGGTGTATACCTGAGTAAGCAGTGTTGATTCTTTATTTAAAATAATTGAGCACAAACTGAATCGAGCCTTAGGTCCAGCTCCTCGGCAGTCACTGAGCGGGCCAGTCCACCTCTGCAGACCCACAACATCCAGAACTTTAAGGAAATCAGAGCAGATCTCATCCACCACCAGAGTCCTGTCGCCGCGGAGAATTTTAACTACCGTGACAACCTCAGTCACGATTATAGACAGACCAACCCCAAAGTCCCCCTACTCAGCTTCCTCCATAGAAGATGTGCTGGTGGGATTGAACTGGTCCAAGAAGTTTTTCCTTCCACCTCCTAACAACGTCACTAGCTGAGGTCAACTGGATGTGGTTAAAGCCTCCCAGCATTGAGAGTTGAAGATCTTTGTGATGGGATCATCTGCCAGGCATTCCTAGCACTACACGTTTGGGTCTGTAGGGTCTGTCTGACATCTTACCCATCAACTCACTACCAGGTAGTGATCAGTTGACAGCAGCTCCTCTCTTCACCCGAGTGTCCAAAACAAACGTCTCAAACCCACCTGGCGCACCTTCCAGCACCGCCGCTAAGGACTATATGTAATAATAATATACTATTGTCTGCTAAAATATATTTTTTTACTTTTTAAAACAGGTCAAATATTACATTTTTCTTTTACTAAAATATCCTGTGGACAATTAAAATGCACAATTACAAAACAGAAAATGTTACACTGTAGAAAAACAAAAATCCCCTTAAAAACCAGGAAAGAGAAACTCATTCCTCATAAAATAATAAGAAGGAAGAAAAATGAAGATGAATAATAAGGACTAAAATTGTATCTTTTCTTTTATAAATATTGTGGTTGGCCCTGTTGTCGGGAGGTGATTTTTAATGATCCTCTGAAGTGTGCTGAAGTTTGAATTTACTTCAAATGTAACACAGTAAACATATCAAATGTTAAAATCATTTTTAGCAAAAAGCTTAAAGATAACATTTAAATTTTATAGCAGGAACAGGTTGGGGGAGTATAATGTGATGCTGTGAACCAGTACCAATCAGTTTGCAAACGGGTCGGTCAGAGGACAAAATGAGTCTTTCACAGAGGCTGGATCTTTGAGGTAAAAATGTCTTTTTGGGCACAAGATGGCAGCAGCAGCAGCAGCAGCAGGAGTTAAAGCCCGCCCCCTCTAATGGCCGCCATGCTCTATATTTTTTTTGGCCGCCATGCTTCTTCCACCAGCAAAGGGCAGCATGACACCAAATTCCTTTATTTTAAAAAATAGATTTTTCTTTTAGGTGTTCCCTGGAGAGTTCTCTCAGGCTCTCGAGGGGGTTCTGCCTTGATGTAGTGCAGGAGGCCCAAAGTACCAGATGCGACAGAACTATGTTTATGACAAAGTCCCAGATGCTTCTATGTGCACGAGCTCTGTGGGATTATCATCAGATTACTGCCAGCACCAGGGTTACAAGGTTAAATACTGAGTTCAGACTCAGAAATCATGCCGGACTGTAGATTCAATCTGCAGCGTCAGATGTCCTGAAGCATCTACTGACCATTACTGAGGGTGGACAGAAACAAGTTCTTTACAAAGTTCTACACTAAAAAACAAATAACGGTACAACTGGTTCATTCCTCATACGTGGGTTTTATGAAAATGTTCTTTGTGTCTTACTGCATCTTTTCTCTTTTTCAACCATTTTATTCTCAAACTGAAGTTATTTTAAGGATCTGTGCATTAATATCTTTTTATCTTTGTTCCCAATGCGCTGTTAGGCTTCTAAATAATGACATCTGTCCCACAAAAATAACGAAGGGAAAAACTCAACAAACAAAATAAATAAATAAAGGTTTTCATTTATTTCAACAGGGTTTTGATCATTAAGTTCCACCTTTGTACAGAATATTTTACTTAAATATTAAAAAAATGTAAAGTTTGTTGTAATTTTTAATTGTTATTTAAATGAAGAGGTATTTATTTTTAGTCTTTTTTCCTTTGAAGGCTTTCATTACTTTAATTTTCACTTTTATATCTTTTTCATGTAGCTTTGATCTGATCCAATTTGAATTGAGCAAATTTTTTTTTACATCTTTCTCTATTTGTGTGAATGAACTTTTCCCTTTCGGCTGCTCCTTTCTGCAGGGTTCGTCACAGCGAACAAACTCCCACGACAGATTCGTAAACTGTTTTTCAGTGGTTGTCCTTCGTGACACAACCTGGGCTCAAACCTGCAGCCTCAGGATTATGAGTCTGCAGCACAAACCACTGAGCCACCAAATCATGCATTCAGAAACGTCAACTGGAGAATTTAGACTGCGGTTATTACTCTTTTTTTACACTTTTTATTTGTGTATTTTGTTTAGCTCAGTTAATTTTCTTATTAATTTTTGTAGAACTCTGCAACATCAAAAAAACAAAACAAAAAAAAATGTTTCATGACAAATCCCCATATTTGTAACTAAATGTCACCATCTCTAATTTCAACAGCAAATTTTCAAAACTTTGTCCCTGGCCTTAGTCCAGTATGGACTCAATCTGAATATTTAGTACCAGCCGAGTAAAGAGCTGGTTTCTAGGAAACCTGTAGAATCTGGAAACTTACCGCTGTGACAGACTGTGGCCATTAAAGTTGATTTTGTGTTTCCTCCTCTTTGATGCAGCTGGCTGAAAATAAAGAACAGAAAATACGTTCTTTCATAATAAAAGAAAAGACTGAACAACAACTTGTGACTTATATTGTCTTTGTTTAGTCACTAACATAACCTGAACGTAAACACAAACACAACAACCATCCGAACACATACAGGTCCTTCTCAAAAAATTAGCATATTGTGATAAAGGTCATTATTTTCCATAATGTAATGATAAAAATGAAACTTTCATATATTTCAGATTCATTGCACACCAACTGAAATATTTCAGGTCTTTAATTGTTTTAATACTGATGATTATGGCATACAGCTCATGAAAACCCAAAATGCCTGTCCCAAAAAATTAGCATAT